AAAAAGATAAAATTATATGTGTCCGTTCCCTGGTTCTATGCCACTTCCCCACCAATTTTCAGCCGTTCTTGAGTTATAAATAGTGTAACTAACCCGAATTTCCTTGATATACATACATATGTATTTATGTACATAGATTCGAAAATCGACGGTGATTTTGCCGCTAAAAAGATATTCCGTTTTAGTGGTGTCTTATCACGCTCGCTACTCCGGAATGATATCATCAATTGTATGAATTTTACTTAGAAGTTCAATCCCTTGGCAGCGAAATCGCTTCACCGCTCTTTAGAGGTAGTATAATTAAATACAGATGGCTCGAAAAGGTCAGAAGGCATTGGTGCAGGCAAATTTGCTCCCTGCACAAGGCTGTCTGAAAATCACGATATTGGATATATTGGGGTTAGGGGACGGTCTGGATTAACTTCATTTACTTCTGACAATAAACTAAAGCATGCTCGATAAAATATACATCCAATTTTGTAAGGACAACTCGCAGGTTGGTCGATATATTCAGCATAAAGTTAACTAGAATAACGAAAATGATTATGTGTAGTATATGGCGACAGAGGTAGTTCATGGACCGATTTTACTAATTTTTATCACAAAACTACAATAAATAATCGGCCCTATTTCCGCTGTCGTTTTAAAACGAAAAAATAATGGCTATGTAGCATTCCTGTTGGCGTTATCGACATTTATCGAAAATAAATTGGTATTCCCCATATTCAAACCCCTATGATAACGACATAATAACAGTCCTTCCTTGTCGTTGTAGAATAGAATAGAATATGAATATGAGGTTTGCACTGCGACCTAGGGTCTATTGTGCCCTCTCCTCCATCACATGCATTCCCAAAGTCCCAGCACCCTGAAAAACTCCAACAACTTGCTGGGTGCTATTGAGGCAATGTGATCCCTGCTCACATAAATGGAACCGAGGGCCTTGAGCCTGTGTCGCAGAATCGGCAGTTGCCACAAGAAGCCATGCCCTTGTTTGACAGGTGTTTCTTGAGCCTACAGTGCCCAGTCTTGTCGCTGTAATAATTGAGAGCGAGATAGCAACGAGTACGATTATTGGAAGTGAATGTGATAATATGAATATGAATAATAACTGGAAAAAATCTTGCGTATGCCAAAGATTTAAGAAAGGGGAAAAAGCCATTGCATTTCGACATTTTATAGAGGGATACTTCGAAAAAACTTAATAAACCTCCAAATCGCGACGGAGACGGTTGGCATAAATTAAATTAAATTTGTAAAATTGCATTTTTATATCTATAAAGGTGTTTAATATTTATTTATTCATATATTTAAAGAATGGAAGGACTCACAGGAGAAGAACCCACAGGAGGAGGAGTTATTATTATTATTATTGTCTTAGTAATAATAACTCCTCCTATGGCTCTAGCTGCGGATTTGTTGTGAACCATTCTTTACTTAATTTAAATGTACAATACTTAATTCACAAAATAGTTCAACTACACGACAACAACAGATAAAATAGTATTTTGGGCGTTATCATACTTTCTTAATTTTAATTTAATATTTCGAGGTGTTACGATATACTTCAAGAATACTGTAAAGGATTTCGATAAATCGTCTACCTTGTTACTCACTCTTGAGTTCGATCACTGGATTACTGAATAAAAGTCCCAATTTAGTGGCCACACACTTATCTCTATTTCTAATCCATTACTACTCAATATCTGAATTTACAACTTTTTAATTATATCTCAATTGCACTTTACTCGTCAGCACTCTAATTAGAACTGTGTCTACTGCTCAACCCGGCAAACCCTTATATAATAGATCGCTAACAAAACTTCGCCACTCGAACATTCTGGCGAACTTCGCTGTCTAGTTGATTCTGGCAATTTATCCGCGATTTGATTTTTTTCTATCATCCGTGTTCGTCACAATACGAATTTAGACACGAAACGACGATAACAACGACAACTTGGAAACCAAAACGAGAACGGGAATAGGGCCGAATGTAATAATAAGTTACTTTGCTAAGATATTCTACATATTAACCGATATATACTGTATACCTAAACCGGAAGACTGAAACATTATATTAAGTATGAGTAACGTATGACTATTCGAAATTTCTTATTTTCGGTATTTGGCGGCTTGAAAACGTATGGACCAATTTCAATCATTTTTAGATGAGAGTTGCCACACATTAAATGTCCAAAGTTCAGAGTAGTTGTTTACATGCTCAAATTTACAGAGCGACTCAAAATTAAAGTTATGGGAGTACCCCCAATGTGATACATTGACGCACCTAGACTTACAAAAAGTAAAGGGCGCTCTTATCGCATGTACTCGTCCACCAAAGCTTTAATAGACTTACCGCTAAAATCGCCTTTCTCCCCTATAGGTAAACGTGAAAATAAATTCAACTCCAACACCAACTTTGCGTTCGGCCGTTAGTATGCTGCGTCAAGAGACTGCTCCAACAGCAGCGTCCACGACTACCACTGCAACAACAGTGGTCTTCCCACGGTGCACGTGCAAACGTGCTGGATTATCCTTATGAATTTCATAAATAATGCTACGATTTCGCCCATCTGCAATATCAACTTCCGCACAGTGTCAGATAATAGATTTACTAGTTTTATTAACATATCTTAACTCGTAGTCAAGTTATTGCTTGTACATACAAACGGATAGACAGATATTTGGTAATTAATCAGTTTCGTCATATTGATCTTTTTGACTCTTTGAGTATTACAAACAATCGATATTTTAACTACTATTATACTATGTGCAACATGTTGCGAGTAATAGATATGTTCTTGTGGCAGCAGAAAACATTTTCTAAATAATTTTGAAGAATGCTGTCGAACGTATCAAGAAAGCGGGTAGATTTTGTAGCTAAGTGTTATTTCAAAGGTTGTTATATCTGAATTGAGTTATAAAATCAGACTGACTTATTATTTAGATGTATTTACGTACCTCTGAACAGGGTAGATTACATTTGCCAAGAAGTTTGTAAAACCCAGAAGGAAACATCGGATACCCTATAAAATGTAAAGGGGTATTCACACCAGCTTTGTTAATTATTTAGTCGTTATGCGGTAATTTTTTCACTGCATTACCAAGTACCAGCCTGGCGAGCTTGATAATTTTTTCGTTACTTGGTAACATCAAATCAGCTGTTTGTTTTGCGTCTTTGCCTTAAATGTTCATTTGATTCATTGTGAAAAAATACCTTTTCTGCTCGCTACAAAATAATGTAAGACAAATTTTTCAAAAGCAAATATTAAGTAAGTTTTGAAACAAAATATATCACACTACTGAGATAGAGCAAAAAGTATGTTCACAGTTAAGTTTTTTAACGAAGTATCACCTAATGAATTACCAAATTAACATATTCGGTCTGTATACCCCTTATGTATAAATGAGCATGACGAGCTGAGTCGATTTAGACAAATTCGTCTGTTTGTATTTACGCGAAATAATTCCTCAGTTTTTGAGATATAGATCTGAAATTCTGCACACGTCCTTTTCTACCCAAGAAGCCACTGATTTGTCGAGACAACCGATATCGGACCTATATATCATTCAGCTACCATACAAACTGAACGATCAAAATCAAGTTCTTATATGGAAAATTTCTTTACTTGACAAAATATCTTCACGAAAATTGGCATCTCCGAAGAATTTTAGATCAAAATCAAGTCCTTGTATCGGACCATTGCCACGGCCCTAAAACGCTATTAATCGAAAACCTGTACTGTAATTTATATTGTACTGTGAGCACATCTTTAAAAAGTGGGCGTGTTTTCACCCCCTAATAAGTTTAATGAATATATTTTCGAAGTCATTCAAACTATATGCCCCGAATTCAGGGCAAATTCCTTTGACACCTCTTACGACAGTGTGAAAGTGGCGGTAATCGGATGATAAACCTGCCCACTTCCCATATAATGGTTTTGTTAAAACCTGCATAAAGCGCCATAAATTAATCACAAAGTGTGTATCTGTGATAGTATAGGAGCTTTACAGGAGCCGGTGTCAAAATTAAACGATGGGCGTGGCACCGCCCATCACATATCTACGGATCTACATGACCAATTTAACTCAAATTCGCCAAATAACATAATCCTGGCATTCCTATGTTACAATACAAAAATGAAATGAAAAGTCAAATCGAACTACAACCATATAATACAACTTTAAATTCCAACTGATTCTTTCACTTTCCAGTATACAAATCAAGCAACAATGAATATATCGGGATAAGACTCTAGACAAATTGTGCCTTTAAGGTTTGCCATCTGAAATCTAAAAATTGTCAAAATCGTACCATAACTATTCAAGCCAATTCATCGGGTCAATAGTACTCCTATCTCCCATATACCTAGTATAAGTGTTTTAAACCTGTGGTTGGCTTTATAGTGCATATAGCGGTCAATATATAAGATATATAAGCAAAATTAACTGAGCGTATATCCAATATACTATAGTTTAATGCCGAAAATATATAAATTGGGCTCCGAATTACCTCAAATTCCATATACTACATATGTATAGTGATTTTATTATATTTTATTCTAACAAACCTTTTGCTAAATATGTCGGTCAGTGGTTTAGCGCTGAATATGAATCGAATTGGCTAGAGCTTGGTTCAAACCTCATACCCTAATATAATCAATTCCGATCATCTGGTTGACGTTTTGCACATCAACTCAATATATTATATTAAACCGCTTCGGTTGAGTTTATGTTTCATATATCTCATTTAAGGATGATTATTTTGCAAAATTTTTTAAAATAAAGTTTTGCCAACACCTGAAGGTATTTCTGTGCCTTTGATTCTTGGAAGTTGCAAGAGTATGAAATGTTCGGTTACACCCGAACTTCGCCCTCCTTTATTTGTTTTAACTAACTTGTTTTCAAATGTTTAGTATGTTATATTAGTTTAATGAGTTATACCTCTCCGCACTCCGTAGATTGGGTTAATGTTAAATGAAATTAAAAAAGAAACTTACGTTATAAAAACTATGAAAGAGGCGCACCTTGCCATCACCTAAAGACACCATTGTTATGCCCATGTCGTAAATAGCCCGCAAATGGTCTGCATTACTTGCTTGAAAATCCAAAGCACGTAATCGCTTCCCGGTAGGTACCCGGGGACAGGAACCTGTAATAAAATTGCGCAGTGGCTTCCGAACTTTTTCTGGAAAAAGTTTATTGGACTTGGGACAAGTTCGCATAAAATCCAGAACGTTATGTTCATCAGTTTGCCTAAAGCCTGCAATTTGTATTGCAATTAATATTTATGATGGAAGTTTTAATAATATTATTACTGAAAGTTGTGTTCCCGAGCTGTGCGATAGTTAGTGGTAGCAGATGTGCCTCTGTAGTGAAAACAAATTCGTCGACATTAACTAGTAAATCATGTGGCTCCGAAAATAACAAATACAGATATTTAAATGTTTCCGAGAGTACAAAAGAGTCCATGCGATCTTCATGTTTTCCAGTGCGAACGTCGTTTACAGCAGCATACCCACATGGAACCTTTGCATATTTCTGAAGGGTTTTTAATGCCTTTTTACCCACTTGGAGGTAATGGTGATCACCAGTAGCTCGGAAAAGAAAATATGTTGATTCTATAAACTCGGGCCGAAGGTGGTGTTGTCCCCAGTGAATTTGAAAATCGACAGTGAAAGCTTCTGGTATGAATGTGTGCATTTGCATTACTTGATAAAGCATTTCGTGTGTTTGAACAGCTGGTTTAATGTCTCCAGATAGAACTTGGAGACCAGGCCAAAAAGCAAGTAATGAATCCATGAAGTTGCGTGACTTTGCGTGAGGCCTATGCATGAGTACATCCAAAAGCATTGGCCCTTCGCTAACATATTTCATTACTGCATTGTAATGACGGTTAAAGCGAGCCAAATATTTATCATCACCAAGTAGAACGTAAGATTTAAATAAGTATTCATAGTATGAATCAATACCGGCTCCTACACCTGAATCACGACGTACCCAATCTCCCGAATGAATGTTTAGCACGGTTCCCATTAGATCAGATCCCCTGTGCCGTAGCTTCCAAAGCGCATCCATAGCTTTATGAGCACGTGCTTCAAATACAGGATCACCTGTGTAAAAAATTAGATAATAATATATTATGTTATATTAATATATATTAAAAAATTACGAAACAGCCGAAAAAGTTGAGAAATTATTCTTGCAATAATAAAAACAAGGTATGGAAAATAAATAATTACGCTATGACCAAACATACATACCAGACAAACGTGATAAAGCCGCGAATTCCAATAAAATAGTTCCCGCGCATGCTGTACATGTTTCACGTGACTTTTTCAACTGCTCATCTTTCATGCCATGACGCAGATTGACTCGAGCATGTGGTATTCCTGTTGATGTGTTAAAAGCTGGGAGTAAGCGATAACCTAAATCACGCGCCATTTCCAACATTTCTCCGCTGTACCATATCATTATACCACGACTTTTTTGGATGTACTCCGTCAAAACATGTGCCGAAAGTAAGCCACCCACCATGCGTATATTTGTTTCAAAAACGGAAACTATTATATCGCTATCGAATTGTACATCTTGAATTACTAACCGAACGGCTCGTTCGAATTCATCGAAATCTTCAAGCAATACCAACGTGTCAATGGAATCAACAAGAGTCATTGAAAAACTAAAAAAAAAATTTTTTTTTATTAAAATCCTTAAGGCCCTTTGGTGAGGGATAAGCTAGGTATAGTCATCGGTGTTATCTAACCGCAGGCTCAGGAAACAACCTGTTACAATGGGATCGACATAGAGGAGGGGCTATTAGATAAATTTGTTTAAACTTATATTGGGTAAGTATTGTATAGTGTGGATATGAAAGCATCGTAGCAGCTCTACGGCTGGAAACTAGCAGGTTTACTGTGTATCTACACTTCAAAAGATACTTCCTGATATAGTCCAGAATGTGGTGTTTTGTCATCATTGTAATATTCTACCTGATTGGTGCTTAGTAACAAAATAGTATTTTGTGTCCTACTGAAGAATGATACTCATGCGATAACTTAGTCATGCCGTAAATTCTGTTAAAAAGTTCCAATACAGCGAGGACAAAATCACAAGAAAAAGTGCCGTTATTTGTATACTCTTGCAACATGTTGCTGCAGAGTATAATAGTTTTGTTCACCTTACGGGGAACACGGACCACTGCCGTGCCACCAAACCGCCATTAAACGAAAACCTATAAAGTGTCATAACTCAGCATTTAAATAAGACATAGAACTGTAATTTGGCCCAGAAGATCACAGTCGCAAGAGACATCGAAGAGGTTTAATGTACAATCTCCTAAACCACTTAAGGGTCAACAGCCAAATTCGCTCAAGACAAATCCCTTAATCATTACTACCGACACTGTAAAAATTGATGAAATAATAGCGTAACTCCCAGTGAGACCAATTATGGGCACCTGTAATAGCTCTCCAGATATTACCATCGCTAGCGGTGTTTTGATAAATAGCATAACTTGGCGACTGATGCAAACTCTCGCATCAGACCATCTGCCCATAATTATCTCGATCGAGAAACCTCCCGACTTTATTCCTGTGGACAACCGCACCTTTGAGAAACTTTAACAAAGCTAAGTGGGTCGGCTTCACAGAATTAACCGAAAGCACCTTCAGCGCACTACCCATTCCTACAGAAGTCATCGCTGGCGAGCGTCAATTCCGCAAGGCGATTGCTACTGCTACTGCTCGCTTCATACCGGCTAGAAAAATTGCGGAACCCTAATTTCCCATCCGAAGCAGATGTATTAGCCAACCGAATAAGGGATCTCAATTTGGAGATTCGGCAAATGGTAAATCAGCATAAGCGGACAAATGGATAGAGCATTTTAAGTCCTGCAACTGCTCCATCAGTGTGAGTAAGCTTTGGACTATTGTCAAGGCCTTGTCTAATCCGAGGAGACATGACGATCGAGTTAAAATTCAATCCGATGGCCATACCTCCTCGGACCCAAAGAAGTGCGCGAGCTATTTTAGCCGGCAATTTACACTGAACCCTTCGATTACCAAGACGAAACGATGTGTTATCCAAGGGCTGCGCAAAATGCCAAAAGACCGCGAGCCACTTACTTTCACCGAAGGGGAGGTTCAGAGTGCGATCAACAAGGCCAAATCGTCCAAATCCATTGGCCCTGAGGGAATAAGCATGCTGATGCTCGACGGGAGTAAGCTGTCTCACCAAGTCCTGAACCTGCCGCTGACCACTCTTCATATACCCGATGTGTGGAGTCGGAAGAGTGGTCCCACTACTGAAACCTGGGAAACCTCCTTTCCCCAGCAGTGAAGACGCTTGAGACCTTGCTACTCCCGACATTCACTCACCAGACTGGCAGACCATCAGCATGGCTTCCGGAAAGTGCATAGCACCACCATAGCACTTAGCGTCATAAACGCTCAGATAGTTCATGGCCTAAACCAAAAGCCACCCTGCGAGAGGACGATCCTCGTAGCGTTGGATTTGTCAAAAACTTTTGACACAGTCAACCACACAATGCTACTTGAGGACATCGAACAATCCATGCTCTCTCCAGGGTTGTGAAGGTGGACTATGAATTACCTGTGCGGTCGGCGTTCATCCGTACTGTTTCGAGGTCAAAACTCCAAACTGCGAAGAAATAAACTGGGGGTTAAGCAGGGTGGTGTCCTCTCCCCGCTTCTGTTTAACTTCTACATCTCGAAATTCCTCCAAACCACCAGAGGGAATTTCTTTGACCTCGTACGCTGATAAATGCACGATATTGACCTCGGGCAATGGAATCGATGGCATGTGCTCGAAAGTAAACGGCTATCTCTCCGACCTTTCTCGCTTCTCCTCTGCAAGCAGCCTAACACTCTCCTCCACTAAATCCACAGCGACCATTTTCACAAACTGGACAAAGGAGTACAGACTGGATCTAAACATTACATTCGATGGCATTAAAACTCCGACGGTCAATAACCCTAAATTTTAGGTGTTACATTTGACATCCTGTGCTCCTTCATTCCTCACACGGCCGCGATAACTGTCAAAATACAGAGCCGCAACAAAATTCTCAAATCGCTTGTCGGCAGCTCTTCAGGAAAAGACAAAGAAACGTTGCTCGCAACTTATAAGGCTGCACCAATATGGTCGCCTGGATGTAGTGCAACGCAGACAAAGAAGCTCCAGATAGGTCAAAACACTGCACTCCGGACTATCGCGGGATGCCTCTTGATGCCCCCAATCGAACACCTACATAGTGAGGCCTGTATGCTTCCGGTTAAGGAACTTAACGAGCTCCTCTCCAAGCAGACTTCGGACGCAAGGAACTTTACACATGCACTGACTGCCATTCATAGTAGAGTCATCAACACCTTCACCGACTCCCTGTTGTTGTTGTAGCGGCAGAATTCTGCCGAGTTGACAGTCGTTCCGGTTACGTGGACCCGACTGTCGTGGGAACCGACTCCCTCTCAGTGAATGGCGGACTTGGGAGTCAAACCACCACCCATCGGGAATCTAGAGTGACCCTTGCGCAACTTCGTTCTGAATACTGTAGCAGGTTAAACTCGTACTTATCCAGAATCGACCCCGACATACTAAATATATGTCCTACATGCAATGAGTCTCCGCATGACACCAACCACCTCTTTGCATGCCCAACGAACCCCCCTATTTCCCTATGGTCCGACCCCGTCGAACAGCTCGTTTGCTAAGCTTCCCGTTAGAAGACCTCGACGACAACTAAACTGAAACTTACCACCCAAGCGGTGATTAGATAACTGTTACAATAACAACAACAAAAACTATAATATAAATACGCCAGAGACATTAAATTTTACTTCCGAGATGGTACGAGAGCACTTTATACTAGCCAGGGTCAAAATTAGGGGATAGGCGGGCACCGCCCACATTTAAGTGAAAACCCATATCTCGGAACATGCTCGACCGATTTAAACCAAATTCGGTAGGTAGCATTATTCTAGGTTGGCAAGAATCCCCCACTGAACCCTCCCCGAGGGTGCCGACTGGAAATAGATACCACAGATTCACGACACAAGCGGGGACGGGCTGGTAACAGTCCGCCCTGGCCGAAGACGTGAGGAATCTAGCTAAGGTCAGACTTCTTATCGGTGTGTTCGATGTTCCTCAATAGCACAGCATACAGATAAGGAGCCTTACCATGGTCGGGGGTAAAGGGCTGGATCAAGGTGTCATGCGACCCGTGCCGAGGATCAACCTGGCTGGGGGCCCTTAAATAGCCCAGTCTCGAACGGAGCTTACGGATACCTGGCGCCCTCCGTAATAAGATAGCCTTGCTTGCGCAACGGGGGCTATGCGCAAGTCGACATACGTTCCCCCACACTCGTGGGACCAAAAATGAACCAAAATGAAAATAAAGAAACGAAAACAAAAAATCGGAGAGAGCCCGGATCTCCAAGAAAAAAGCCGGAGGGAGCGAGTTGCTCCCACAAAAGAGCAGCGTTTGGAGCGAGCTCAACTAACACGAAGAGGACAGGAGCGAAGCTTGGTCCAGAAGACAAGGCAAGCACTAGTAAAGGGGCAGAAGCTAAAGCTGGCCCACAGAAAGTGGTAGCGCTGGAGGCAGCCAAACTCAAACCCTGCGGCCAAAACACGGCTGAAAAGCAGGGGGAGAGAGGAGATGCCAAAAGGTCTACCGCCGGAAGTGCATCTGCCAGGGAGTGGCCTGCATTTAGCATGCAGGACCCGTCAAAGGCAAAATATGCGGAGAGACGACGCGCCGCATACTTACTAAGGTTGGTAGAACTAAAGCCGCCAACGAAAGAGGAGCTAACGAAGGAGCTCCAAGCATCAATTGACTGCGCGAGAGCAGTCATACCCAACTTTAAGTTGGAGCCGCCGGTAAAGGCAGCCAAGCGACAGAGGTCAGCTGAAGAGGCAAAGCCGTCAGCTAAGAGACCGAAGACCAAGGGTGTAACGCCCGCAAAATCATTTGCAGAAGTGGCCCGGAACCGAATTGTCATTGGCGTTCTGGATGAGGGAGATCCCGAAGGAAGAATCCCCAGAGCCCAATGGAAATGGGTGCAGGCTGCGCTGACAAATGTGGCGCTGGAAGTGCTATTAAGCAATCCGGGTCCGCCACCGTCATGCGCAGATGCCGGCTGGTACCAGGGCCAGATCAAAATGATTGCGTGCGACGACGAAAGATCGGTCGCACTATACAAAGCTGCTATAGCCAAGGTGGGAGAGGTATACCCCGGGGCAAAATTGGTAGCAGTGGACAAGAAGGACATACCATCCAGACCAAGGGCAAGGGTATGGATTCCGGCTACACCAACTCAGCCGGACCAAATTATGCAGCTCATAAGAGCCTGCAACCCGAGCCTACCCACTGAAGGGTGGAGGTATGTCAAGACATTTGAGGACAGCGTAGCGGAATCTGGCGTGGAGACCAAAAGGGCCACGATGCAGATTCTGCTGCTTTTAACGAAAGAATCCATCGAACCGCTGGCGAAGAGTGGCGGGGAGATAAATTACGGGTTCACGAAAGTAAGGATAACGCCTTACAAGTCGGACGCCGATGCTGCAGACCATCTGGCATCGGGGAAAGAGATATGCGAAGTAGAGGAAGATCCCATGGAGTCCTCGAGCGACGCGGAAAGCATGGAGCAAGGTGAGTGTTCT